ATTTAAGACAACTTAGATTAAGGCCATCAGTCTTAACTCCGTACTACAACACAAAACAAACATGTCCAAACCAAAAGACGTTTTCCAAATCATCAAAAAATAAACAGTGATCACGGGTACTCTGACCGAATTCTTATTTTACGATAAACTACGTAAATAACATGCAACACCAAAACCCTGGAGCCGTAGCTGGCCGCATGAGTCGCTCCACAACAACAGGAGCATCGGTCGGAGTATCAAATGTTGCGTTGCACCTTTAAGTTCGGCGTGCTAAATCAAAAGAATACTTTGCAGCGGTCATCCGGAGGAGGAAATCTGCTCCGTCTCGTTCGTTCATTTTGTTTTGTTAATTATCTCGTACCAAGCTGGTTAGGAGAAGCACGTGGGGGGCACGCGGGGTGGGGTGGGGGTGGGGTGGGGGGGGTGGGGGGTCCCTTCGCCCCGCGAGGAAGCGGCCCACGTGAGAACTAATTCTCGGACGCCAACTCGCGTGAGCCCAGCCTCCCCTCCACCGCGCTCTCCTCCGCCGCTAGGCGGCGTCGTGAGTTTGGCTTCTGTCTAAAGCAGGCGGGGGGGGGGGGGGGGTCCCCAGGGGGGGGGGTCCCCAACCCCCGGGCCTGCAGGAGGTGAGCGGCGGTGAGATCCGCACGTGGCCCCCCGCCCAAATTGTTTTTCTTATTGACCATTTCAGTCCGCGACTCTTTGCCGCACTGCGAAACTCGTCTCAGTTTTGGTAGTAAGCCCACAAGCTCTAAACCCCTAGTAGGTACGATGAGTAAGCCCACAAGCTCTAACCCCCTAGTAGCCACGATGAGTAAGCCCACAAGCTCTAACCCCCTAGTAGGCACGATGAGTAAGCCCACAAGCTCTAATCCCTAGTCAAGCTCTAACCCCTAGTAGCCACAATGAGTAAGCCCACAAGCTCTAACCCCTAGTAGTCACAATGAGTAAGCCCACAAGCTCTAACCCATAGTAGCCACGATGAGTAAGCCCACAAGCTCTAACCCCTAGTAGCCACAATGAGTAAGCCCACAAGCTCTAACCCCTAGTAGCCACGATGAGTAAGCCCACAAGCTCTAACCCCTAGTAGCCACGATGAGTAAGCCCACAAGCTCTAACCCCTAGTAGCCACGATGAGTAAGCCCACAAGCTCTAACCCCTAGTAGCCACGATGAGTAAGCCCACAAGCTCTAACCCCCTAGTAGGCACGATGAGTAAGCCCACAAGCTCTAACCCCTAGTCAAGCTCTAACCCCTAGTAGCCACAATGAGTAAGCCCACAAGCTCTAACCCCCTAGTAGCCACGATGAGTAAGCCCACAAGCTCTAACCCCTAGTAGCCACGATGAGTTAGCCCACAAGCTCTAACCCCTAGTAGCCACGATGAGTAAGCCCAGAAGCTCTAACCCCCTAGTAGCCACGATGAGTAAGCCCACAAGCTCTAACCCCTAGTAGCCACGATGAGTAAGCCCACAAGCTCTAACCCCTAGTAGCCACGATGAGTAAGCCCACAAGCTCTAACCCCTAGTAGCCACAATGAGTTAGCCCACAAGCTCTAACCCCTAGTAGCCACGATGAGTAAGCCCACAAGCTCTAACCCCTAGTAGCCACGATGAGTAAGCCCACAAGCTCTAACCCCTAGTAGCCACGATGAGTAAGCCCACAAGCTCTAACCCCTAGTAGCCACAATGAGTAAGCCCACAAGCTCTAACCCCCTAGTAGGCACGATGAGTAAGCCCACAAGCTCTAACCCCTAGTAGCCACAATGAGTAAGCCCACAAGCTCTAACCCCCTAGTAGGCACGATGAGTAAGCCCACAAGCTCTAACCCCCTAGTAGGCACGATGAGTAAGCGCACAAGCTCTAACCCCTAGTAGCCACAATGAGTAAGCCCACAAGCTCTAACCCCTAGTAGCCACAATGAGTAAGCCCACAAGCTCTAACCCCTAGTAGCCACGATGAGTAAGCCCACAAGCTAACTCCTAGTAGCCACGATGAGTTAGCCCACAAGCTAACCCCTAGTAGCCACAATGAGTTAGCCCACAAGCTAACCCCTAGTAGCCACGATGAGTAAGCCCACAAGCTCTAACCCCTAGTAGCCACGATGAGTAAGCCCACAAGCTCTAACCCCTAGTAGCCACAATGAGTAAGCCCACAAGCTCTAACCCCCTAGTAGCCACAATGAGTAAGCCCACAAGCTCTAACCCCTAGTAGCCACGATGAGTAAGCCCACAAGCTCTAACCCCCTAGTAGGCACGATGAGTAAGCCCACAAGCTCTAACCCCCTAGTAGCCACGATGAGTAAGCCCACAAGCTCTAACCCCTAGTAGCCACGATGAGTTAGCCCACAAGCTCTAACCCCTAGTAGCCACGATGAGTAATCCCAGAAGCTCTAACCCCCTAGTAGCCACAATGAGTAAGCCCACAAGCTCTAATCCCTAGTAGCCACAATGAGTAAGCCCACAAGCTCTAACCCCCTAGTAGGCACGATGAGTAAGCCCACAAGCTCTAACCCCCTAGTAGCCACGATGAGTTAGCCCACAAGCTCTAACCCCTAGTAGCCACGATGAGTAAGCCCACAAGCTCTAACCCCTAGTAGCCACAATGAGTAAGCCCACAAGCTCTAACCCCTAGTAGCCACGATGAGTAAGCCCACAAGCTCTAACCCCCTAGTAGCCACGATGAGTTAACCCACAAGCTCTAACCCCTAGTAGCCACGATAAGTAAGCCCACAAGCTCTAACCCCTAGTAGCCACGATGAGTAAGCCCACAAGCTCTAACCCCTAGTAGCCACAATGAGTAAGCCCACAAGCTCTAACCCCTAGTAGCCACGATGAGTTAGCCCACAAGCTCTAACCCCTAGTAGCCACGATGAGTAAGCCCACAAGCTAACTCCTAGTAGCCACAATGAGTTAGCCCACAAGCTAACCCCTAGTAGCCACGATGAGTAAGCCCACAAGCTCTAACCCCTAGTAGCCACGATGAGTAAGCCCACAAGCTAACCCCTAGTAGCCACGATGAGTAAGCCCACAAGCTAACTCCTAGTAGCCACAATGAGTTAGCCCACAAGCTAACCCCTAGTAGCCACGATGAGTAAGCCCACAAGCTCTAACCCCCTAGTATCCACAATGAGTTAGCCCACAAGCTCTAACCCCTAGTCAAGCTCTAACCCCTAGTAGCCACAATGAGTAAGCCCACAAGCTCTAACCCCCTAGTATCCACAATGAGTTAGCCCACAAGCTCTAACCCCTAGTCAAGCTCTAACCCCTAGTAGCCACAATGAGTAAGCCCACAAGCTCTAACCCCCTAGTATCCACAATGAGTTAGCCCACAAGCTCTAACCCCCTAGTATCCACAATGAGTTAGCCCACAAGCTAACCCCTAGTATCCACAATGAGTTAGCCCACAAGCTCTAACCCCTAGTAGCCACAATGAGTAAGCCCACAAGCTCTAACCCCCTAGTATCCACAATGAGTTAGCCCACAAGCTCTAACCCCTAGTAGCCACAATGAGTAAGCCCACAAGCTCTAACCCCCTAGTAGCCACAATGAGTAAGCCCACAAGCTCTAACCCCCTAGTAGCCACAATGAGTAAGCCCACAAGCTCTAACCCCCTAGTAGCCACAATGAGTAAGCCCACAAGCTCTAACCCCCTAGTAGCCACAATGAGTAAGCCCACAAGCTCTAACCCCCTAGTAGGCACGATGAGTAAGCGCACAAGCTCTAACCCCTAGTAGCCACAATGAGTTAGCCCACAAGCTCTAACCCCTAGTCAAGCTCTAACCCCTAGTATCCACAATGAGTTAGCCCACAAGCTAACCCCTAGTATCCACAATGAGTTAGCCCACAAGCTAACCCCTGGTCGCCTACAGGAGTAAGGGGACAGACCCCAATGATGGACCCTCCCCCTCCGCTCGCATTGACCCCAAACAGACAAAGATCCCCCGTGTAGCCTCTAGCAGTACTGCAGGGGCAAGTGCTGTTAGTAGCGAGTAGCAGCAGCACCTACACACAGACAAAGATCCCCCGAGTAGCCTCTAGCAGGGCTGTAGGGGCAAGTGCTGTTAGTAGCGAGTAGCAGCAGCACCTATACACAGAAAAAGCTCCCCCGTGTAGCCTCTAGCAGGGCTGTAGGGGCAAGTGCTGTTAGTAGCGAGTAGCAGCAGCACCTACACACAGATAAAGCTCCCCCGTGTAGCCTCTAGCAGGGCTGTAGGGGCAAGTGCTGTTAGTAGCGAGTAGCAGCAGCACCTACACACAGACAAAGCTCCCCCGTGTAGCCTCTAGCAGGGCTGTAGGGGCAAGTGCTGTTAGTAGCGAGTAGCAGCACCTACACACAGATAAAGCAACCCCCGTGTAGCCTCTAGCAGGGCTGTAGGGGCAAGTGCTGTTAGTAGCGAGTAGCAGCAGCACCGCCTATACACAGACAAAGATCCCCCGTGTAGCCTCTAGCAGGGCTGTAGGGGCAAGTGCTGTTAGTAGCGAGTAGCAGCACCTACACACAGATAAAGCTCCCCCGTGTAGCCTCTAACAGGGCTGTAGGGGCAAGTGCTGTTAGTAGCGAGTAGCAGCAGCGCCTATACACAGACAAAGATCCCCCGTGTAGCCTCTAGCAGGGCTGTAGGGGCAAGTGCTGTTAGTAGCGAGTAGCAGCAGCACCTACACACAGACAAAGATCCCCCGTGTAGCCTCTAACAGACTTTAGGGGCAAGTGCTGTTAGCGAGCAGCACCTACGAAGGCCCCCGGCGCCGTGGCACACGAGTGGGGGGGCGGGTGGCCAGCAACCACGCCCGGCCGCCTTTGTCTCCCCCAGCGGCGATGTTCACTACACACACCGCACCGGGTGCTCATCTTGAGGCCGAGCCGACCCAGGGCAGGCCCAGGAACGGTTCGGACAATCGCCACCGAACCTTGCCCGCTAGCGGGGATCGAACTCGGGTTCCCCAGGTTGGTAGCGGCGCTGACCGCTACACCACCCCCCCCCCCCCCCCGCCGTCTCTCAGCCAGGTGACCACGGCCTCACCCTGCGGCTGACGAGGCCACGCGCGGAGCGGAGGGTCGTGTGGACCAGCGACACGATTGACAACGAGCACCTGGGACGTCGCTCCTCCAAGTGTGAGTGTCTCGGTTTGTCGGCTCCCTCGCCTGTAGTGCGACGGGAGGCCGCGGGATCGATCTTCCGGCTGTTTTGACGCCCGTCTCCGGCTGCGTTTTTGGAGTCTGCGCCTCCCGTTTTTCTCATCGTCACGCTGGGCTAGGAGACGTTTACGATCTCCCCCTTGTACGTTTGCCCACTGTGTGTAGTGAACATCGCCACTGGGGAGACAAAAGCGGCCGGGCGTGGTGCTGGCCCACCCACCCCCCGTTCGTGTGCCGAAGTGCCGGTAGCCTTCATACAGTGAGGGACAAACAAGTATTTGATCCCCTGCTGATTTTGTACGTTTGCCCACTGACAAATGATCAGTCTATAATTTTAATGGTGGGTTTATTTGAACGGTGAGAGGCAGAATAACAACAACAAAATGCAGATAAGCGCATGTCAAGAATGTTATAAGTTGATTTGCATCTTAATGAGGGAAATAAGTATTTGACCCCCTCTCAATCAGAACGATTTCTGGCTCCCAGGTGTCTTTTATACAGCTAACGAGCTGAGATTAGGAGCACACTCTTAAAGGGAGTGCTCCTAATCTCAGCTTTTTACCTGTATAAAAGACACCTGTCCACAGAAGCAATCAATCAATCAGATTCCAAACTCTCCACCATGCCCAAGACCAAAGAGCTCTCCAAGGATGTCAGGGACAAGATTGCGTGTGTGTGTATGCGCGTGTGTATGTATCTGTGTGCGTGAGTGTATCTGTGCATGTGCGTGTGTGTGTATCTGTGTGTGTGTGTGTGTGTATCTGTCTGTGTGTATCTGTGTGTGTGTATCTGTGTGTGTGTGTGTATCTGTGTGTGTGTATCTGTGTGTGTGTGTGTGTATCTGTGTGTGTGAATCTGTGTGTGAATCTGTGTGTGTGTGTGTGTATATCTGTGTGTGTGTATCTGTGTGTGTGTATATCTGTGTGTGTGTATATCTGTGTGTGTGTATCTGTGTGTGTGTCTGTGTGTGTGAATGTGTGTGTGTGTATCTGGGTGTGTGTATCTGTGTGTGTGTGTGTATATCTGTGTGTGTGTGTATCTGTGTGTGTATCTGTGTGTGTGTATCTGTGTGTGTGTATCTGTGTATGTATCTGTGTGTGTGTATCTGTGTGTGTGTGTAGCTGTGTGTGTGTGTATCTGTGTGTGTGTATCTGTGTGTGTGTGCCGGACGGGCAACTCTGTCGTGGACAGTGCTGTGGGGGGAGGTCCAATTTTGACTGGCTCCTCCCCTCATGGCATATGTGTCCACCACAGGGGCTAAACGGGGGCTCTGGACGGATGCGAGGGGCTGGTAACCCCTCCACCTTCAATTAATTACCACTAAACCACGAATTAACTAATAAGCTTGTGCCGGAGGCCCCGGGGGGCCAGGCGTCTATGACGTCTCCTGGCCAAACCCCAATTGGCGGAGCCAGGAGATTCAATCTCTACCCTCGGGGTCCTCCAGAAACAACGAAAAACCACTACGGGTGGCCACGTGGAATGTTCGAACGCTCACTGCGGAGGAGAGGCTGCCACTCCTCTGTCGGGAGCTGGTCCGGTACCGCCTGGATCTATGTGGCATTCAGGAGGTCTGGTGGATCGGCTCTGGCTCCTGCCACCATGAGGGGTGGACAGTCCTCTACTCGGGGCAGCAGACTGCCAAACAACAGGGTGTGGCTCTTCTTTTGAACAAAATAATGAAGGGGGCGTGGGAGCGTGGCGGTGAGGTGTGGGAAGCTGTAAGCCCCAGGCTACTTTGAGCTCACCTTCCCATCAACCGGAGGCGAGGAATGGTGGTCGTGGTTACTTATGCCCCCACCGAAGATGAACATCCGTAGAGGGATGCAGGCAAAGCCGATGAGTCAGATGCCTTCTATGACCTCCTGTCACAGGTGCTGGCTAAAGTGGCCCCTCGGGATAGTCATCATGTTGGGTGACTTCAATGCCCGAGTTGGTCATGATACTGGCACCTGGTCTGGAGTGATTGGAGGGCATGGGCCAGATCAGCTCAATAACAACGGTAGGAGGCTGCTAGATTTTTGTGCAGCCCATGGGCTTGTAATTACCAACACGCTGTTCCGGCATCGGCGCAGCCACACAACATCATGGATGCATGCCGGGTCCAAGCAAGAACATCTGCTGGACTACATAGTGACGGACCAGCGGATGCGAGCCCATGTCCTTGACACCAGGACCTACCGTGGAGCTGATCTGCCCTCTGACCATCGACTAGTCATCTGTTAGATGCGCCTGCCATTCTTTCACTCCGGTGGTGGGTGTACACCCAGGACCCCATTCCAACCTAATGTGGCCTGGTCTCGGTTATCTGATGAAAGTTGCAAGCGAGAATTTCATCATCGCTTGCGGCTGGGATTGGTATCGTCCCCGACTCCTCCTGATGTCGAGGGTAAATGGGCGAGGTTTAGGACTGTGACTCATGCAGCTGCAATGGCTGCTTTGGGTACGTGGTCCCTGGGGGAGGGAAAATCCCTCAGCCAGGAAAACATCGTGGCACAAAGTGAGGATGACCCTGCTGAGGCTGCGGTGCCTCAAATATTGGAAGAAGTCACCCCCTGTGAGTGGCTGGCTGAGGTGCCATCTGTTGAGGAAGTACTGAAGGCGATCCGGAGTCTGAGACCAGGAAAGGCAGCGGGCAGAGATGATCTCCCAAGGGAAATGCTGAGGGAGGGCGGCGTTTGTGCACAGACTGTCCTATATGACATCATAACAACAGTCTGGACCACTGGACAGGTTCCGCAGGATTTGAAGGATGCCCTGGTGGTCCCCCTTTTTAAGAAGGGGGACTGCCCAGACTGTAACAACTACAGGGGCATCTCACTCCTCAGTGTGCCGGGAAAGGTCCTAGCAAGGATTATTCAACATCGCCTTGCCAGGCACGCTGAGGAGAGGCTTGCAGAGCCCCAATGCGGTTTCAGGAAAGGGCGGTCCTGCACAGATGCCATATTTTCTGTCCGTCTGCTTCAGCAGAGATGTTGGGAATTCCAACAAGACCTACATCTCTGCTTTATTGACCTGGTCAAGGCCTATGATACCATCAGTAGGCCTGGGCTCTGGGTTGTTCTTCGTGCTTTTGGAGTACCTGACCCTCTGCTCAAGATCATTAAGGACCTTCATGATGGTGAGCGGGCCCGGGTAAAACTAAGTGGCCGGGAGTCAAAGCCATTCCCTGTACACCTTGGGGTGCGACAGGGATGTCCTCTGGCTCCCACATTATTTAACATCTATTTTGACCACGTAGTTCGTGAAGCCTTCAATAGCTATACCGGGGGAATCTCCATATGGTACAGATATAATGGGAGGCTAATCGATGCCCGGGTGCGGTCAAGGGATGGCTTCCTATTGCTCAACCACGTTATGTATGCTGATGATTTGGTAATAGCTGCTCAGTCAGAGGAGGAGTTGGAGACGCTGCTGCTGAGACTGGAGCGTGCCACTAAGAGGTGGGGCCTTACCATCAGCCACACCAAAACTAAGCACCTGCCTGGGTATTTTGTACCATCGGATACTCCACCCCCACAACTCCCAATCGGTGATGGGGCAGTTGTGGAGAGAGTGGAGAGTTTCCCATACCTGGGCAGTGTGCTTATGACTGGCTCCAGTTTAACAGCAGAGGTCTCACTCCGAATCAGTCGAGCGGCAATATCTTTTCATCGGTTGCGTAACGCTGTGTGGAAGCTACCTGGTGTGTCGCTCCGCACTAAGCTTCAGGTCTTCTCGGCCACGGTCATTCCCTCCCTTCTCTACGCTTGCGAAACGTGGACCCCCCTAATGGAACATCTTCGCCGGTTAGAAACATTTAGGCTGGCCTGCCTACGATCCATCCTGGGTTTAACCAGACTGGATTGTGTGAGGAGCTCACAAATCCTTGAAAGATCTGGGCAGGGTCCCATCGGTGAGCTCCTCCGGCAGGCAAGGCTGCGATGGCTGGGTCATGTAGCCCGCATGCCCAGCCACCGCATGCCGAAGCAGCTTTTGTTTGGCCGGATTGAGGGGGCTAAGCGGGCGCGGCACGGGCTAGAGAAGAGATGGAGTGATGTGGTACAGGAGGACGTGGAGCTGAGTGGACTTGCCGATGACCGGTACCAGCGGTGTCAAGATCGGCCTCTGTGGAGGAGGCTCGTGAAGGATGCTACTGGGCAGTTGGAGGCAGTCGCCCTCCAACAACAACGGAGGGCGGAGGAGCGACGCTCACAACAACGAGCGGAGCGCCGGGTGGCTAAAGCACAGCAGGTTGGCACAGTAGGGGGCACAGGTGGTGCATCAGCCAGTCATCTCAGTCAGTCGACCCATGGCACCTGGGTCTGCCCAGTGACCTCCTGCCAGCGGGCGTTCGACACTTCACGTGGCCTCACGGTGCACATGGCCTGGCACAAGCGTCGTGGTGACGTCACTGCCACTTAGTGGCGAATGGCGGTTGTTGTTGTTGTGTGTGTCTATCTGTGTGTGTGTGTATCTGTGTGTGTGTATCTGTGTGTGTGTATCTGTGTGTGTGTGTGTATCTGTGTGTGTATCTGTGTGTGTGTGTATCTGTGTGTGTGTATCTGTGTGTGTGTGTGTGTGTATCTGTGTGTGTGTATCTGTGTGTGTGTGTATCTGTGTGTGTGTATCTGTGTGTGTGTGTGTGTGTATCTGTGTGTGTGTGTGTGTGTATCTGTGTGTGTGTGTATCTGTGTGTGTGTGTGTATCTGTGTGTGTGTATCTGTGTGTGTGTGTGTGTATCTGTATCTGTGTGTGTGTGTATCTGTGTGTGTGTGTGTATCTGTGTGTGTGTATCTGTGTGTGTATCTGTGTGTGTGTGTATCTGTGTGTGTGTGTGTGTGTATCTGTGTGTGTGTGTGTATCTGTGTGTGTATCTGTGTGTGTGTATCTGTGTGTGTATCTGTGTGTGTGTATCTGTGTGTGTGTGTGTATCTGTGTGTGCGTGTGTACGGCAGGCTGCTGCGTCTACCAGAAGCCGCGCGACTTCGGCGAGAGCTCCTCCGACAGCGAGACGGACGAGGGTGGGGGCAGCTGCGGCAACGCCCACTGCCCCCACGGCCACGCCCACGGCCACCCCGACCCCGCCCACGGCCACGCCCACGGTCACCCCGACCCAGCCCACGGCCACGGACACCCCGACCCCGCCCACGGACACGCCCACGGACACCCCGACCCAGCCCACGGCCACGCCCACGGACACCCCGACCCCGCCCACGGCCACGCCCACGGACGCCCCGACCCCGCCCACGGCCACGCCCACGGACACCCCGACCCCGCCCACGGCCACGCCCACGGACACCCCCACTCCCTGCCCGCGGACGATGCCAGTGGGGGCGGTGGTAGGCCGGGGGCGGTGGCGGCCGGCGACCACGGTGTGGCCGGCGGGGCAGGGCATGTGCACGTGCAGCAGTAGGGCAGCGGAGCGAGCACGGGGGGGCGTGCACGTATATACGTAGTACACGGCATCATTACAGGACGCGGGATGTAGCACAAATAATCATCGCGGGGCGCAGGATATAGTACACGGCATCATTACAGGCCGCAGGATATAGTACACGGGGTCATACAGGACACAAGATATAGTACACGGCGTCATACAGGACACAGGATATAGTACACGGCGTCATGCAGGTCGCAGGATATAGTACACGGCATCATTACAGGCCGCAGGATATAGTACACGGCGTCATACAGGACACAGGATATAGTACACGGGGTCATACAGGACACAAGATATAGTACACGGCGTCATACAGGACACAGGATATAGTACACGGCGTCATTACAGGCCGCAGGATATAGTACACGGCGTCATTACAGGCCGCAGGATATAGTACACGGCGTCATACAGGACACAAGATATAGTACACGGCGTCATACAGGACACAGGATATAGTACACGGCATCATACAGGCCGCAGGATATTATACACGGTGTCATACAGGCCGCAGGATATAGTACACGGCATTATACAGGATATAGTACACGGCGTCTTACAGGACACAGGATATAGTACACGGCGTCTTACAGGACACAGGATATAGTACACGGCGTCATGCAGGCCGCAGGATATAGTACAAGGCGTCATACAGGCCGCAGGATATAGTACACGCCGTCATACAGGACACAGGATATAGTACACGGCGTCATGCAGGCCGCAGGATATAGTACACGGCGTCTTACAGGACACAGGTTATAGTACACGCCATCATACAGGACACAGGATATAGTACACGGCATCATGCAGGTCGCAGGATATAGTACACGGTGTCATACAGGACACAGGTTATAGTACACGGCGTCATACAGGACACAGGTTATAGTACACGGCATCATGCAGGTCGCAGGATATAGTACACGGCATCATACAGGACACAGGATATAGTACACGGCGTCTTACAGGACACAGGATATAGTACACGGCGTCTTACAGGACACAGGATATAGTACACGGCGTCATGCAGGCCGCAGGATATAGTACACGGCATCATACAGGACACAGGTTATAGTACACGGCATCATACAGGACACAGGTTATAGTACACGGCATCATACAGGACACAGGTTATAGTACACGGCATCATACAGGACACAGGATATAGTACACGGCATTATACAGGATATAGTACACGGCGTCATACAGGACACAGGATATAGTACACGGCGTCTTACAGGACACAGGATATAGTACACGGCGTCATGCAGGACACAGGATATAGTACACGGGGTCATGCAGGGCGCAGGATATAGTACACGGCGTCATGCAGGACACAGGTTATAGTACACGGCATCATACAGGACACAGGTTATAGTACACGGCATCATACAGGACACAGGTTATAGTACACGGCATCATACAGGACACAGGATATAGTACACGGCATTATACAGGATATAGTACACGGCGTCATACAGGACACAGGATATAGTACACGGCGTCTTACAGGACACAGGATATAGTACACGGCGTCATGCAGGACACAGGATATAGTACACGGGGTCATGCAGGGCGCAGGATATAGTACACGGCGTCATGCAGGACACAGGATATAGTACACGGCGTCTTACAGGACACAGGATATAGTACACGGCGTCATACAGGACACAGGATATAGTACACGGCGTCATGCAGGACACAGGATATAGTACACGGCGTCTTACAGGACACAGGATATAGTACACGGCGTCTTACAGGACACAGGATATAGTACACGGCGTCATGCAGGTCGCAGGATATAGTACACGGCGTCATACAGGACACAGGATATAGTACACGGCGTCTTACAGGACACAGGTTATAGTACACGCCATCATACAGGACACAGGATATAGTACACGGCATCATACAGCACACAGGATATAGTACACGGCGTCATACAGGACACAGGATATAGTACACGGCGTCATACAGCACACAGGATATAGTACACGGCATCATACAGGACACAGGATATAGTACACGGCGTCATACAGCACACAGGATATAGTACACGGCATCATACAGGCCGCAGGATATAGTACACGCCATCATACAGGACACAGGATATAGTACACAGCATCATACAGGTCGCAGGATATAGTACACGCCATCATACAGGACACAGGATATAGTACACGGCGTCATACAGGACACAGGTTATAGTACACGGCGTCTTACAGTACACAGGATATAGTACACGCCATCATACAGGACACAGGTTATATTAGATGCTATCATACAGGACACAGGATATAGTACACGGCATTATACAGGACACAGGATATAGTACACGCCATCATACAGGACACAGGATATAGTACACGGCATCATACAGGACACAAGATATAGTACACGGCATCATGCAGGTCGCAGGATATAGTACACGGCGTCTTACAGGACACAGGATATAGTACACGGCGTCTTACAGGACACAGGATATAGTACACGGCATCATACAGGGCGCAGGATATAGTACACGGCGTCATACAGGCCGCAGGATATAGTACACGGCGTCTTACAGGACACAGGATATAGTACACGGCATCATACAGGACACAGGATATAGTACATGGCGTCATACAGGACACAGGATATAGTACACGGCGTCATGCAGGTCGCAGGATATAGTACACGGCGTCATACAGGACGCAGGATATAGTACACGGCGTCATACAGGACACAGGATATAGTACACGGCGTCTTACAGGACACAGGATATAGTACACGGCGTCATACAGGACACAGGATATAGTACACGGCGTCATGCAGGTCGCAGGATATAGTACACGCCATCATACAGGACGCAGGATATAGTACACGGCATCATACAGGACACAAGATATAGTACACGCCATCATACAGGACACAGGATATAGTAGACGCTATCATACAGGACACAGGTGATAGTACACGCCATCATACAGGACACAGGATATAGTACACGCCATCATACAGGACACAGGATATAGTACACGGCATCATACAGGACACAGGATATAGTACACGGCATCATACAGGACACAGGATATAGTACACGCCATCATACAGGACACAAGTTATAGTAGACGCTATCATACAGGACACAGGTTATAGTACACGCCATCATACAGGACACAGGATATAGTACACGGCATCATACAGGACACAGGATATAGTGCACAGCATCATACAGGCCGCAGGATATAGTACACGCCATCATACAGGACACAGGATATAGTAGACGGCATCATACAGGTCGCAGGATATAGTACACGCCATCATACAGGACACAGGATATAGTAAACAGCATCATACAGGACACAGGATATAGTACACAGCATCATACAGGCCGCAGGATATAGTACACGCCATCATACAGGAAACAGGATATAGTACACGCCATCATACAGGACACAGGATATAGTACACGCCATCATACAGGCCGCAGGATATAGTACATGGCATCATACAGGACACAGGATATAGTAGACGCCATCATACAGGACACAGGATATAGTACACGGCATCATACAGGACACAGGATATAGTAGACGCTATCATACAGGACACAGGTTATAGTACACGCCATCATACAGGACACAGGATATAGTACACGGCATCATACAGGACACAGGATATAGTACACAGCATCATACAGTCCGCAGGATATAGTACACGCCATCATACAGGACACAGGATATAGTACACGGCATCATACAGGACACAGGTGATAGTACACGCCATCACACAGGACACAGGATATAGTAGACAGCATCATACAGGACAGAGGATATAGTACATGGCATCATACAGGACACAGGATATAGTACACGCCATCACACAGGACACAGGATATAGTACACACCATCATACAGAACACAGGATATAGTACACGGCATCATACAGGCCACAGGATATAGCCGACAGCAGCATACATAACACAGGATATAAGATTACAGCATAATATAGGAGGTAGGATATAATAAACAACATGATCCAGGAGTTACATTATAGCACACAGCATAATACAGGACACGGGATATTGTATGCAGCATGCAGGACATGTTACACAGATGGGCAGAGGAGTAGTCAAGCGAGCAGTACGTGGTGTACAGGACACCTGGACGTGTAGTAGATCTGCGTGTACCGGACGCGTAGTACACTCTACAAGTGTGAAGACATGGGCATTAAGTTTTGTCCTACGGGACACGGGAGCACTGCACACAGCTTGGAGAACATGGGACTCACGCAGAGACCCATAGACTCACGCAGAGACCCATAGACTCACGCAGAGACCCATAGACTCACGCAGAGACCCATAGACTCATGCAGAGACCCATAGACTCACGCAGAGACCCATAGGCTCATGCAGAGACCCATAGACTCATGCAGAGACCCATAGACTCACGCAGAGACCCATAGACTCACGCATAGACCCATAGACTCGCACAGAGACCCATAGACTCACATAGAGACCCATAGACTCACGCAGAGACCCATAGACTCACGCAGAGACCCATAGACTCACACAGAGACCCATAGACCCATAGACTCACGCAGAGACCCATAGACTCACGCAGAGACCCATAGACTCATGCAGTGACCCATAGACTCATAGACTCACGCAGAGACCCATAGACTCACGCAGAGACCCATAGACTCACGCAGATACCCATAGACTCACACAGATACACATAGACTCACGCAGAGACCCATAGACTCACACAGAGACCCATAGACTCACGCAGAGACCCATAGACTCACGCAGAGACCCATAGACTCACACAGAGACCCATAGACCCATAGACTCATGCAGAGACCAATAGACTCATGCAGAGACGCGTAGACTCGCACAGAGACCCATAGACTCACGCAGAGATCCATAGACTCACACAGAGACCCATAGACTCACGCAGAGACCCATAGACCCACGCAGACCCATAGACTCACACAGAGACCCATAGACTCATGCAGAGACCCATAGACCCACGCAGAGATCCATAGACTCATGCAGAGACCCATAGACTCATGCAGAGACCCATAGACCCATAGACTCACGCAGAGACCCATAGACTCACACAGAGACCCATAGACTCACGCAGAGACCCATAGACCCACGCAGAGATCCATAGACTCACGCAGAGACCCATAGACTCGCGCAGAGACCCATAGACTCACGCAGAGACCCATAGACCCATAGACTCACGCAGAGACCCATAGACTCACGCAGAGACCCATAGACTCACGCAGAGACCCATAGACTCACACAGAGACCCATAGACTCACGCAGAGACCCATAGACCCACGCAGAGATCCATAGACTCACGCAGAGACCCATAGACTCGCGCAGACACCCATAGACTCACGCAGAGACCCATAGACCCATAGACTCACGCAGAGACCCATAGACCCACGCAGAGACCCATAGGTTTTCATCCCCACCCCGCGCACCTCTGCTTTGCACGCGTGGCTACGTACGGCGGCGCGAAAGAGGTTCGGCACACGTGCGTGCACGGCCTGTTCTCCTGCAACGCGGCGGTGTTCGCGTCGCTGAAGAACGCTGCGTTGTGGGGGAAAAAAATAATCGCGTCATGATGAGTAACATGCAACATTGTAGCGCGCGGGTTGCGTGACGCAGGCTTCACGGATACTCCGATGGCGCCGGCGGTGTAGGGTAGCGTCTAGAAGCCCCGAGCGACGACGACGACGACGATGACGATGCCGCGCCGAGGGCGGCCGCGAAGCTTGGACCGCTTTTTCCCGCTCGCGCTGCGACGTAGTTCCGTTAGCCCGATTGCGCTGCGTATCCACATCCGCATTCGCTGGGTAAAAAAAAAGTAAAAAATAATGATGTACGTGCTCCCCTGTAATGCATTTGCCGCTGTCGCATTGTTTCTTTGTACACACACACACACGCGCACACGCGCACGCACAGGGTGCTTGGAAAAGATGGTGACACTTCCGAGAATTTGCAACGATTAACACGGGGAAACCGTGCCCCCCACGGGCTCTGGAGATCCCAGGCGTGCGTTGACGACGCTGGCCAGCTAAGCGGGAGACTCTGTGACTTCACGAAGCTGTTCGCGGTACGCTTGTTACCCGTTTTGCCACCGACAACGACAGTCCCGTGTGAGCGTTAACGTTTTGTTTGGAGCACCCTGTGCATTCGCCGCCGCGTTATTTATACGCGCATGTATCCGGTTCGGCACCACGTCGTTGGGGGGAACCCCCCACGGGGGCAGACGCTCGTAGGCAGACGCTCCGCATCCCCGACTCGTCGCCCCCCCCCCCCCCCCCCCCCCGTTTCCAGTGGTCGAAGCGGAGCCCCTGGGAGCCACGGGCCCGGGTGGCTGTGCCCAACACGGCAACGGTTTCGGTGGGGGAGGCAGTGCCGGTGCCGGTGCCGGTGCCGGTGCCGGCGCCGGCGCCGGCCGCGCGTGGGCGTCACGTTGACCGTGTTGGTAATTACAGAGATGCCTATTGCAGAGAGGCCAGTATCCAGTGCCGCACACACACACGTGCAACGCGCGCAGAGGATTTTGACTGCGCGTGGCCTTGTCGGCGGAGCCAATCGGAGGTGGCCTCCGATTGGCTCTCTCCGATCGCCGGGTCACAAAGCCAGGAATGTGACGTCGCACTCCGGGGGGATGGGGGGAGGGGGGGGGGGCAAAGGAAGCGACGTCGCAGTCCGGCGGCGAGCACACGGGAAGTGATGTCACGGGAAGTGATGTCATCGCGCGGGAGCGGACAGGAAGTGACGTCGCCCCGTTCATGAGCAACGGCCACTCTAGTTTTAGCTGTGGGCGCTTCCGCCGATGATGATGATGATGGAGGAGGAGGAGGAGCGAATCTCTCCGGGTTCAAGTTGTTGGCAATTTCTGATCTTTGTTGGGGGCGATACCCAGACCCAGTCGACTCTCGAAGATCCGCGTTGGTAATCGTGGGCGGGCGGGCGGGCGGGCGGGTGCTGGGGTGCCAGGGGGCGGGGCGGGGCGGGGCGCGAGGGGGGGGTCAATGGCCCCCCCCCCCCCCCCCCCCCCCCCCCCGGTTAAAAACTAAGCGGACGGACAGAGTAGCGAAAAGTTTAAATGATGCTCTAGAATGCATTCGTTTGTCACGGGCGTCACTGTGGTCGATGTGGTCGAGTGGGGGCAAGGCGGGTGAGGCGTGGGAGGCAGTCAACGACGACAGGCGCGACCAGGAGTGCACATATTCAACAGCTCTTTCGGTAAAGTCACGTTGAAGGGAAACAATAAAATAATAAAATATATATATATAAAACAATATATTTAATTATTTTATTGTTTCCCTTCAACGTGACTTTACCGAAAGAGCTGAGAATATGAATTACTGCAGTCACGAAAGCTTTAAATCAGGAGTGCACAGTCCGGGAGAGGCAAAAGGAATCGCTAATTTTTTTGTTAAAGCTACCAGGCCATCACAAATCGATGGCTCAACGAAGTGGCCTATCGCATGGCGGCCCTCTGTTGCAACCCTTCGCGCCGCTGCCAACCTGGCGACCTGAGTCCGATTCCCGGCGACGATCACCTCAGCCGGTTCTTGGCCTCCCCCCCGAGGTCGACTCGGCCTCAGAATGAGCACCAGGCGCGGCGTGGAGTAGACGCGGCGCTGGCCACCGACCCCACCTCGTGTATCGTAGCGGCGGCCTTCACAGGTGCAGTTACTCCCTCACGGCACTTTCCCCAACAGTCTGATAAGGCTACACGGGGGCGGGGGGTGGGGGGGGATCTTTGGCTCTCTTCCCCGCGCCCCCCCACCCCCCCTCCTCCCTCCCCCATCATCACTTGGGAGATGGGCCTCGAGCCTGCGACCTCCGGATTGCGCGTCGCCATTGCGGCTGCCGACCACGAAACCCGGCGGCCTTCCCGAGCATCCGTCCCGAACCGCCGTCGGCGCGTCGCGATGGAGGCTGCCCGGCATGCGACGCGGATTTGTTGTTGTTGTTGTTGATGTTGTTGTTTTGGTTCGAAGTCGATGTTCGGTACGTCTCGTTGTAAATTAAATAAACGGCCGTAGTCGCGGTCGGACCCACGGACGTGCCTGCAGAAGAACGATTTCAATTGTGTGCGCCCACAACCACCGCAAGCTCAATCGCCGCCGCCCCAATCGCCTGCCACAATCGCCACAACCGCCGTCGCCACAACCAGCGCCTCGACCACCGACCACCACCACCACCACCACCACAATCGCCGCCGCCTCAACCACCACCCATCCAGGCACCGATCGCTACGCTACGTTATACACTACACAATTGTACACTCCGCTGCAATACATGACCACATGATACTCCGTTGAGAACGCCCTTCTTTAGAACCGCTATTTATGCTTCCCCCGCACCTCCGGTTGGCACGGCTGTCCCCGTGCGGTGCGCGAAATAAGTCCACATATCCTCGGGCTTCACACCGCCGCAGACTCTGTTCACCAACACGCGGAGACAGGCAAGCGTTCTGATCCGTTTATTCCACCACCCTCCCGTCACAGCCTCCCTCCTGCATCCACAGCTGCCTCCTTCCATCCACAGCTCCCGCCTTCATCCACAGCTGCCTCCTTCCATCCACAGCTCCCGCCTTCATCCACAGCTGCCTCCTTCCATCCACAGCTCCCTCCTTCATCCACAGCTGCCTCCTTCCATCCACAGCTCCCTCCTTCATCCACAGCTGCCTCCTTCCATCCACAGCTCCCTCCTTCATCCACAGCTGCCTCCTTCCATCCACAGCTCCCTCCTTCATCCACAGCTCCCTCCTTCATCCACAGCTGCCTCCTTCCATGCACAGCTCCCTCCTTCATCCACAGCTCCCTCCATCCACAGCTCCCTCCTCCAGGTAAGGGGGCCTAGGAGATGTGAACTCCCTTGCCTGCTGTGCAAGAGGTCGTGGGTTCGATTCTGACGCCCGCTGTACAAGTTTGCGTGTTCTCCCCGTGCTGTCTACCAGGAGGTGTACCAGGTGTAATGACTC